CCTGCCTGAAATTCCTGTGAAATAGCTTACCCGGCCCAGACCCTCGTGCCCTAACACACAGGGAGCAGGGTCTAGGCTGCAATGCGGGCAATCCCCTGCCAACACCCGCACACCCCCCTGCTTGCCAGGCAGTCAAAGTCCACCTCCTCCTCAGGTCTTAACGCTATCTGAGGAGGGCTCATGTCCCCTAGCTCTGTCTCCCACCCAGAGCTCACAGTGATCTGGATCAGTCCCCTTCCCCTAGTGCCCCTCACCTCACACAGGCACTTGGAGAAGAGTCCGCCTCGCTGGGGGAGGCCTGCAGAGGGGCCAGGTGCTCCTCCAAGCAGCTTGGGCAGGGTTCCCTGGGGAAAAGGAGCAAGAGAGGTGCTGCGGCTGAGCTTCCTCCCCTCTGGCAGCTCTGAGAAAGACACCATATCCAAGCTCTCCCTCACCCTCTGGGCTTCTCTCACAGCTTCCCCTTCCCCCCCAAAATGGCTGACTCCAAAGTGGGCTTCATCTTCCCTTATCACATGCTCTCTAGGGAGCCGTTTTCCCTTTCCAAAATGGCTGCCTCCAGGGCGGCCTTCACTTGTCTGTATCCCATGGTCTCCCAGGAGCTGTGCTGTCCCGCTGCTGCCTGGCTGAGTTCACCCTGGGACCTTGTTCTCCCAGGTAAAGTGATGTCATTGTTCGTTACATAGGCAACATCTAACCTGAAGTCTTTATTATTGATTGCTATTATAAAGGGCCTGTTTTTCTGCAGTATTAGATTTAATATGGCACAAATACTTCTTGCCTAACTAAATGCCATTTGGATCAGTCAAACAGTCTTTTTTACTTTTCTCCTATACTGCAATTGTGTTGTGTGGGGCTGCTGAGTTTTGTTAAATATTGCTATGCTGTCCCATAAGAAGTGGCATCCCTGCAGTAATGTATAAAATAAATCCTGCTTAACAATAATCTTTACAAAATCCAGAATTCTAGCTGCAGAAGTTGAACTCTAGTAGTGATGATAACTGCTTCCACCCTAATGCAATTTTACACACATTTTTCTTTTTACTTCAGCTGTTGCTTGTAATGAACTTCTTTACAGGCTTGGTCCGATCTCCCAAATACAGCTGTCATCACTACAGTCCTTATGTTGGTTGCCATAAAGAATTGCAGGGAATAAATGGAAAATTTTCAGTAAACTTAAAATTTACACTTACTTTTTCTTCCTTTTAGCAGTATTATTCCAGCTACTTCCATCTCATCATTATGCACCAGAACTACCTTGCCACTGTTCTTAGTAGCAAATATAAGTACTAGACACCAGAAGCAATTGTTTAATATTATTGATCGCCCTATACATTTTGCCCTGAAATTTGTTTGACCTGATGGTAATTAAAGAAGGATTAGAAATTTAGAAGAAAATGAAACTTCAGTGACACAGTGGTCATGCACAAATCAGTGTTTTTTTGCATATTACCTTTCCATAATGTTCTGTATATTGAACCACTTGTTCCTTTAGATGGGAAACTGTTTGGGTGACAAGTATTCATTTATCTGATATTGTTACATCTGCTGTGAAGTAGCAGGCATCCAGTAGCACTTCCTTAAATTAAAAAAAGAGAAAAAAGTACAATTCAGGTAAAGCAGGTTTTTTTCCTCTTTATAGGTTCCATTAGTATTTTTATCTTAATTGTTCTGGTTTTGTTTTATTTCTTCATGCCATGGTTTTAATACTAACATGTGATTTGGAATAAGAGCCTATGTGACAAGTGTAAAGGTTATTAGCTTCTCTCTGTCTTGGCTCCATGAAACCTACCTTGACCATAGGTCAAGGGGTATAGGAAAAAGTGTGTATAGTATACCTAAGAAGAAGGCAGGACAGATTTGCACCTTAAGCATTCTTGAGCTGAAGCTCACTTTACTAGATACTATGAAAGGATGTGCGGAAAACAGAGTATAGGAAATAAAGATAAATTAGAATACCAAAGACAAGTGGGGGGAAGAGGGGGAAATGGGGTGGGAAGGTGGGCAGTGCTGGGAGAGACAAGCAAACAAACATGAAACCCATAGGAGCAAAGGACTCAACAGAGCTAAGCTAGGTAATGAGATGAGAATTCTTATGAAGCACAATTCAGTCTGTGCTCTGTGAATGATTTCTTGTTCTGCAATTTCCTGCTCAGACTGGGACAATACCAGGACAAGGACAACAGAGTTCCTGTGGTTGTCACCTACAGCCCCCAGCTTGACCACCTTAGACATATCATGAATGCCCTCCAACCCTTCCTGGAAAAGGATGACTGTCTTAAAGCAGTCCTGAGGGACAAACCAGTCCTGGCTTATAAGCAGCCCCCAAACCTCAAACAGCAACAAGCTGCCTAAGCCTCAGTCTCACTGAGGCACCAGGCCTTGCAACAAACTCAAATGCCTTCTTGCCCCAACCTTAATACAGACCACCTCATCACAGAACCAAATAATACAGATTATAATATCCAAGGTTCATTCACTTGGAACTCCATCAATTTCATATATGTTCTTCAAGAAAGGCTTAAGTGCCTTCCTGCTGCCCACCTTGGAAATACTGGGTGATCCCTACATTAAATTTCATCACTGACCTGAGGGTGGCTGATCTCAGACAGAAAAAACTATTTGAATGGGAAATGGCGGAACAAGAAATCATCCGTAGACTGGATCGTGCTAAGTATGGATACTAATCCCATTACCAGAGTTACCGTGTGGTTCTTTTGTTTCTGAGTTTACTGTTTGTTTGCTTGTCCATCCCAGCTCTGTTATCTCCCTATCTCTCTCTTCTCCACCCCCCACAATCTTTTATATTCTAATTTCTATCTCCTTCCCATAGCTCATTTTCTACACATCTTTTTACCCCAGCTGACTTCTTGCCCCTAGGGCAGGGGGCTGGACTTGATGATCTTCCAAGTTCCCTTCCAGCCCTAATGTCTATGAAATCTATAAGTGAGCTTCAGCTCATGAATGCTTATGCTATCTCTAGAAAGGATGTGGAAAAGGAGTAACCAAAGCTAACCTAGCTAATGGGATGAGAATCCTTATGTAGCACAATTCAGTATAGAAAGGAAGTGGACAAGTTGGAGAGAGTCCAGCGGAGGGTAATGAAAGTGGTTTGGGGGCTGAAGCATGTGATTTCTGAGGAGAGGCTGAGGGAACTTGAGTTTATTTAGTCTGCAGAAGACTGAGAGGGGATTTGATAGCAGTCTTTAACTGCCTGAAGGGGGGGTTCCAAAGAGGATGGAGCTAGACTGTTCTCAGTGGTGGCAGATGACAGAGCAAGGAGCAATGGGCTCAAGTTGTAGCAAGGGAGGTTTAGGTTGGGTATTAGGAAAAACATTCTCACTAGGCTGGTGGTGAAGCACTGGAACAGGTTACCTAGAGAGGTAGTGGAATCTCCATCCTTGGAGGTTTTTAAGGCCCAGTTCAGCAAAGTCCTGGCTGAAGTGATATAGTGGAGATAGTTCTGTTTTGAGCAGGGGGTTGGACAAGATGACCTCCTGATGTTCCTTCCAACCCTAATTTTCTATGATTCTGTCTGTCTGTCTGTCTGTCTGTAACAAACACTGCAACCCCAGAAACTGGCACAAGAAGCTGAAGGGGGAGGGGGGGCACTTTTATATAGAAAATCATAGGGGTTAGTGTCACAAGCCAATGGCCAAGAAAAGTAGGCATTGCAGTACCAATACATACCAAATAGGCACTTCCTATTATCAATAGGCCCTGCCTATTGCAGTGCCAATAGGCATTAACACTATAATACATACATTCAGCCCCTCCCCCACCTCTGGAGGTCTTCCCAAACCAGCCTTTAGTTCCAAGATGGCTCCAATTCAGTCGCACATGCGTCCAAGTCTGAGTTCCACTGCTTCAGTTCACTGCTTGGCCAGCTCCTCCAGTGAGGTTCATAGCCCCGCTGCATCCCACCACTATCTATCTGTGGTCTTGCTATCATGTCCTCTTCCTTCTCTTCCAGCTGGTTCCTGCTTCCGAATCCTCTAGGGGCTTCTAGAAGTTGTAGTTCACATTACAGTTTACATTACAATACATTATCTATCGATCGATCGATTTTTTTTTTGGTTAGTTTACAAGGTGCAAATCTACCCTGTCTTCTACTTGACTTCAGTCTAACATAGCTAACTATGTCTCTCTGCTTATATTATCATGATAATGAGTAGGATAATGAAAAGATACTGTGATTTTGGTTTTACTGCAGAGTTAATTTGATCTCTGATTTGGATGTTGCTCTTCACTATCCATATATGCATCTTTTTACCCAAATGTACTGGTGCCTGTGAGTCTCCTGCTGTGAGGACACAAGCTAAAGCATGCAAGTAGTCTTCTATGTATTTCTGCACATCCTCTAATGTGCCCAAGAATGAAAAGTCCTCTTAGAATTTTCTGGGCAAAAATTCATAGCGTATATCATCTTACTAAGAATCATGGGACATGCCAACTTTAGAGTAAGCCACACATTAAGTCTTCTGATTTGAGGAAAATTTGAGGATTTTGAATTTTGAAATGTGGTTTCTTTCCAAATAAGACTAAAAGCAATTGAAAAAAAAATTCTTGCAGACTGAAAACTATGAAAAATTTGGCTTTGGAAATTAATGGAGCACTGCCATGTTTTTGTGGTCTATGGCTCTGGAGCAATGCTGCCTGGCAGACTGGTTTAGAGGCTGGGATCTTTGAAGCATGGGGTCCCTAGCCCTTAATCAGTCCTCCTGGCAGGTCAGCCTGGAACAGTGGATCCTAAAAGTTCTGGGTCCCTGGTCTTGACCCTCTCCAATGAGCTCTAGTCCTAGACATTTTAGCAGCATACAGAGGTATATGTAATTCTAGTGTAGAAAAAGTGACTTGAGTATAGATTTACAGCATAGCTGCTTATACCTGGGCTAGACTAACCTTTATGCTCAGACCTGGTTGCCAGTTGCCCAAATTAAAACCACAGTGGGTGCATCTACATGTGTGCTTTACTGCAGTTGACTACTTAGCTCTGCAGTAAAGTGTCACCATCTACACGTGTGCCCATATTAGAGTGCAGTAAATTAATTCACTCTACTGCCGGATAGTACTGTCTGGGACAAGTACTATCCGATGGTGGGGTAATTAATGCCACTGCAACATGTGTAGACAGTGACTGGGGCTGGCTGGGACATAAGGGTGCTACAGTGTGAGGGCTGTCTGCCAGTTAGCACTATAGCACAGGGGCGGGCAGTTATTTTGGGCAGAGGGCTGCTTACTGAGTTTTGTTCAGCAATGGAGGGCTGCATGATAGGCAGCCAGGGGCAGATAAATATTAATTTTCTAAATTTTTAGGGGCCCCGCAGGCCGGATAGAATGACCTGGAGGGTCACATCCGGCCCCCAGGCTGCATTTTGCCCACCCCTGCTGTAGCACCTTCATGCTGCAACCAGCCCCTCTGCCACTCAGTGCTGCCACCTGGAGCCTGGGGCTGATCCCCCCAGACTCC